TTTCAATGAAATTCGGTACACAATATTTTCTTAACACCCTGATGACATGTACCAAATATGGGTGAAATCGGTTCACAACCACGCCTGAAATCTCGATTATCACTTTATCATCGGTGACACCCGAACTTAGCTCTTCCTTACTTGTTTTAAGTAAAGATTTGCTTTGATAGGTTTGAAATACTAATTTTTACTTAGTTATAGTTTTCATTGAAAATTTCCAACTCTATGTTTAATCCCTAACATCAAATTCTGTAACTTTATCCTAGCAAATATTTTGCATACTCTAACTTAGGGTTTCAGAAAATATTTAATATTTTGCATTCTGCTGATTATACTTTACTCAGCTTCTGTTATGTGATGAACCCTAAAATGTTGCTTAGCTGCCACTACCCCCAAGACCTGAGGTGTTCGTCTAGAGTTCATTTCTTAAAACAGCCTTTGAAGGTCTTGGGTAGCTGAAGGAAATTGTATTCTTCCGGTGGGCTAACTAAGATAAATTGCATGAACAGTGCCTTTGAAACTGCGGTCTTACATATAAAAAATGATCAAAATCGGAACAACTTTTTAAGCCCTATACCGAATATGTTGGTATTTAGTTTTGAAATTCAAAAAGAATCTTTTAATGATAACAGTTTCTCCTTGTCTCAAAAATTAAATCAATCTACACTTTCCTTTAGCCAACAAATTTCCACTTGGGCGTAATTATTGTATTGACCACCAGTGGCGTAGTGACTAACCAAAGGCCCTGGGACAAATTAAAAAATGGGGCCCACTGCTATGTTAACTGATTAGGTATCAAATAAAAGTATGAAATATACAAATATTTTATGAATTCTAAGCTACTTAAAGTTTTTTTGGGCACTGCAGGACAGGTATTAAACAGTAACAACTTACAATTAATACTTGGTGTAGGTTTGGCTAATAAAACAAAATAGAGAAGAGTCAAGAGTTTATTATATAAAGTTCGGGCCTACCAATTCTTTCCTAGTTTTAGTTTCCGTAAAAGTATCCATGACTTCGTTGAAATCCAATCTTGAATTTTTTATTTGCTAAATGACCTTTCAGTTTCTGCAGAAACAGTAAAATTGTAAATAATAATAACATTGCTTCCTTTATATATTTTTAATTTTTTCCTTACAACACCCATTATGTATAATTATAATTATTTTCTTGCAGTTTCACTGGCTTTGCACTTGAATAATTCAAAATCATTTCTAAAAATTTGCAACTTTGCTTTGGTCTCTGCTAAAACTTTTTTTGCCATGCCAAATTAAAGATCGCATTTTTGTAAAGTTTTGACTACATTATTGATGTTGTTCAATACACTGTGCATGAATTTCGCAAAGCAACACGAACTCGAAATAATATAATAATAATTTAATGCTCTCTGCTTCCAATGTCCTTACTAGGACTCTTTGATTTGTAAACAATTTTGCCGAGCATGGGACAGTCAACAGAAGACCTTACCAGCGAAACCCTTCAGTTCGGACGGAGGAAACAATCGCTGCTGTAGCTGCTGCCATACAAAACAATCCACGTGTTCCGACAATAAGCTTATCTGCTCAAATGGGTGTAAGCAGACAGTCATTGCACTCAATTATGCACAAAGATTTGGACTTATTCCCATATAAAATTCAAATGGCCAACAAACTGAACGCTGCCGACTTGCCGATTCGCTTGGAATTTTGCCAGAAGATGCTTCAAATGGTGGAAGAGGATGGAAACATGTTGAACTGTCTTTTCATGTTTGACGAGGCTCATTTTGATTTAAATGGCAACATAAACACTACAAAATTGTCGAATATGGAGTGATTTCAACCCACAGATACTCCATGAGACGGAATTGCATCCACTTCGTGTSACAGTGTGGTGTKCAGTTTCATCACGCTACATTGTCGGGCCCTACTTCTTCGAAGAAAACGGTCACACCGTTACGGTTACTGGAGACCGTTACTTGAGCATGTTCAGAGAGTTTTTCTATCCGGAATTACGCCGAATGAGAATTTCTTTCAACTCTGTGTGGTTTCAGCAGGATGGTGCAGCTCCTCACATAGCCCAACCTGTTATGACAGAATTGCGACGAAAATTTTCCAATAAGCTGATATCCTGAAACTCCACATTCCGTTGGCCACCCAGGTCGCCTGACCTTACTGCACCTGACTTTTTCTTGTGGGGTTACTGCAAACAGGAAGTCTACAAAGCAAAACCAACAAATTTGAATGAACTAAGGCAATCCATTCGAGAAACAATTGCGGCTATTCATGTCTCAACTCTCCAAGCAGTAATGAACAACTTTTTGTTAAGATGCCGCACATGCATCAACGAGCAGGGGGGCCACTTAAATTCCATTTTTTTTAAACTAATTAAGCTATATTTAATAAAATTGAATGAGCTTTAACATGAGTAAAAGAAAAATTAATTCCATGAACATTCATACACTTCACATCACATCACGTCACGTCACAACACCTCATCACACAACCGTTCACAGCATACACCACTACACACACACGCATCAAACACAGTTCTTAACACCGCTCATTACTACAACACAACAACCACACGATTATAAACGAGACGGCTCGTAATCACAACTACTCACCACCCAAACCTTCAAAAGGGATTGATCCGACCGGGATCGCTCTTCGTTTTCGTTTCATCCGCAAAGTAAGACAGTCGTCCCCGATATTAAGTTTTTTCATTTGTGATCCGCTAATTTTTCGTTTTTACCGCAGCAACCACCGCAATTTCCTTGTTTTTATAACCGCCAACATTGGTGTTCGAAGCACAAAATTTATAAAATAAAAGAAAACAAAACTTTTAAGTGAACATACTATGACAAAGTTAAAGTGAACAAATACATATATATGTATAAAGCACAAAGTTACAGTGAAAAAATAAAAATTAAAATTGGAAAAACAAATCCCAGAACCACGGAAAATAGAAAGTGAAATATAAGTACATGAAAAATAGAAAGTGACGTGCAAAGATACATACAAAAAATTTAAATACAAAGAAACAGTGAAAAAAAAAAACTACTAAAATCAATACCGGGCGCGAAATAAACTAACTAAAAACCAAAACAACAAAAACAAAACCTATTAAATCAAAAACGGGCGCGGAATAATTATGTACAAAATGTAAGAATTATACAAACATTAAAGTTAAAATAGCAAACGGGGTATAACATATACAAAAAACACAACTACTATACATACTCACGGGAGACTACACCAACAAACAACAAAGAGGAAGACAGCAAATCATCAGGGACAGCGCTGGACGTACATAAGGAACTGAAAGAAACAAAGAAAAGGGTATAGGTTCAATGACCCAAAACCCTTGAGGGAAAATAAAGTGAGTCCGTTCCATATATAATTTGATATATAAAAATATATATATTAAATTTTTTATGCGCATATATGTATATATGTTTGTTAAGGTACAGTTTTGACGGTATTTCGGGACACCGTTAACTGTTCTTAACATACAATATGTACAAAAAAAATTATAATAACTGCAAAAAGTGCAGTACCCACCTTTTGCTTAGCTTGTGTCGTTAGACACCTCATTATATAGTTTCAAAAAAAATAAAAATTTTCCTAAGTCAAGCATAACTTGCTATAATTCTTGCGATGCCCCTTGGGCTATAAAAAAAGGAAAAAAAGTAACAAGCAGGATCGCTCACACACTAAGCAAAAGCGGAAGATACGAAAAGAAAACCAAATATACACATATGTATATAGATAAACATACATATATACAGGCATATTCTCCTAAAATTGCAATTTTTCCATTTTAATATACATATGTCCATGCATTCATAATCATATGGTACATACATAACATAATTTAGCATACAGCTATAATACATAATAATATTAAACTAACTGCTTGGATGCTCAATTCGTGTCTCCAAACATACTACCAAACACTATAACAAAAACAATTCACAAAAGACAAGCACCCGTTGCTTGCAAATTTCCAGCGGAACCCCTTGGGCATTTAAACCAACAAGCTGGATCGCTTATTAACATTCAAGCAAAGGTAGGTAATAAAGAACTAATAAAGAAATAATAAAAGAATAAAAAGAGAGAAAAAAGGCACTACATTTATGTATGTACCAATGTGTGCAGCTTCCGCGTGACATATGTACATACAATATTTTTTATTTTTTTGCACATTACATTTCAATTATTCTTTCTTCATATTTGAACAATTTATTGAATACATACACATTGATGTATATAATTCTACCAATATACATAGTTACATAAATATATAAGCATACATGTATTAGATATTTCTATTT